CGATCGTGATTACGAAGAAATCGACAACCCAATGAGTCTGCCGATGTTTCACATCCTGCTGATAATTCGGCAATCGTACTTTCACACATTTTGTTATCATGTGATATATATTGTTGACGAAGATTCACACAAGCACTTTCATTTGTTTGTTGATCTCTGCATTTGAAATGCTGTCGTGTTAAATTCAATGAGCACATATCAACATACAATTCATCTAACACCATATGACAATCGCTATAGCCGTCCTTGACACGGTATTTTGATATACATTTATTTGATATTGGACAATGAAATAACAATTCTGATGAACAATTAGAAGAAATGAACGATGAACAGAATGAAAGAATAAGTATTAGTTCACGGTATAAAAGAACTAAATCATCTTGTGCATCAAAAGTAAAATTGAATTCTGTTAAATGTCTACAACTATATTTATCATCAATTAGTACTGTTGGTGGAAATGATTGACATAATACATAATCATAGCATATATAGTCTGGTATTGAGCTGTAACTTTGAGTTAAATGTAAAAAGCGAACAGATGGATATAGAAATGAATTCGTTGGCAAAAAATAATATGTACTACAAACCTGATCCAGAAACGGATAACAACTGCCCTTCGGTGGACAAAGTATTAAGCACTGTGTTTTGTTATACAAAAGGGAAACTTGAACTTCACAGAGAATATATTTCGAACATAGATCTGCATCAAACGGTAATTGATAAGCCAATGCAGCAAATATTGTAGTACGTTTACTAGAACATCCAAATCCTAGTGGACTAATATCACACTCGCCATCATCACAAGGAAACTTTAACCAAGCACAATTACGTTCATCACATAAAATAGAATGTTTGGATATACATGATTCTGGTTGTGAGGAAAACGTTTCATCGCTTTCATCTGAACAATCGTTCGTCATTAAATCGAACGCAAATACTTTATCAATACACATACCAGATCGACAACGATATTCTTGTTCAGGATCACATTCGTTTAATTCCAATTCTAAGCAATTGATTTCATCTTCACCGTTTGGACAGTCTTTTAAACCATTACATATGTGTCTCCAGTCCAAACATAGAAAAGTACCACATTTTAAACCCATATAACAAGTTATATTATCAAGCGAGTAATCTTTATATAATCTGACATTTAATTTCAGATCCAAAGATTGTTTAACAAACATAAGGGCAATCAGTAATTCAAATGATGGTTGATGAAAATTAAATGTGTATTCACAGAATGACCCAAAAGAATTCAAATTGATACTACAATTACAAAATATTTCGTTTTTTCCCGACATTCCTGTTAAATAATTTTGATACTTTGTCATTGTATCCAATGGTGTATTCCATTCAAATAAATCGTAGACAGTTATATTTAAGAGTTTTAATTGCCCAAACGTCAATTCTTTTCCATAACATGTACTAACGTTCATAGGTAATGATAATGTGGGTAGAGGTCGTCTACAATACGGTACAATTGATCGACCGTCCCTCATCAGTTCCATTGTTGAATATAAACAATCGTAATAATCATGTTTAGGTGTGCCCGTATGATACAAGTGAAAATAACCACACATTACTGAGAAAATATTACCAAGGGATGTTATTATGATCAATAATAACATTCTTTTTTCTGTTATAAGTTAAATGAAATGTACTTTCTTTACGTACAAATGTTCTATTACTATCAGTTTCTTTTGATTTGTTAAATGAATTCCATGTTCCTATATATGTAGATTTAATAATTTTGTCACAAAAATGATTGATATTCAAGCTTGTCAAAAAATGTGATGATCTACATAAGACGAAAAAAATAAATTTCTAAAAAGTAAGAATCTGTTTAGAAACTTCTAAAATACTCGACGTGTAGTGAGTAAAGAAAACAAAGAGCAAAATATCACTATTCATTTAGAAAATATATAGATCAAAAGATTAATCTAAAAATACTGTGCATCACATTTGTTCCTTTTTTTTTATGTAATTGTCCCAGATCTCTAAGTTTCCCTTACTCAATTCTTTTTAAAAAACTGTCACGCACAGTACAACCAAGTTTTGAGACTAGTCTCTCTCTTGAAACAAATATCAGATCACTTTCTCTTCTTCGTTTCTCTCGATCTCTCTCTCACACACGTCTTGCAGTTGGTGACTGTCTTTCTTTGTTCATCGGAAATGTCTTCTCCATATATGAAGAAGAGAAAGTGATCCGACGTTTGTTTCAAGAGAGAGACTAGTCCGAAAACTTGGTTTTACTGTGCGTGACGGTTTTTTTTAAAAGAATTTAATAAGGGAAGCTCAGAAATCTGAGACAGTTACATAGAAAAACATTTTTTTAATTTTGTTGTATTCTGAAATCTATTCTCTCAGTGTTTTGCTTTTGAATTTTCAGCTCCTAAGAGAAAGGAGGAGGACAAATGTTAAGCTAACACTTTATCACATCAAGAAGTAGAAAGCTGTCAAATTCTGGTTAAATATTTAAAATATTATTCTGTTGTTTTTTCTCAATGTTGTAATTCTGACACACTTTTCCATTTCTTTTCAACATATGAATGTTCTATGACTTTATATAAAACTTCGGATATTTCCTCCGCAGTGCTCACATTTTGTTTCTGTATGAAGAAATCCGCACGAAGTGACAAGAATTTGTTGAAAAGCAGATAAGGATCAGTTAAGAATCCTGTAAGAATTCAACAAGAAAAGGGTAAGAACTAAAAGCAGGCTCGACCTGTTTTTGATTAGAACGACTTCTTGAACTGGTAGTTATTGTTTCGCTAAGAATTCGATCAATCTATCTTGTAGAGAATTAAATTCTCTACGAAATGAGCGAGAGGATATTGATTTTGAACATGGGCAGCATGTCCAAAAATCGTGTCCAATGAGTACCACGACAATTAATACACTGGTTAAAAGTGTTGAAATCATCATTCTTAAAATGGTAACGTCTTCTGACGGAATGATTAAGAGACAGTTCGTGAGAAAACCGTGTTTTTCTGACATACTCGATTTGTACGTGTCAGATAAAGAGAGAGGCATAGTTATTTTAGATCGTTTAGATTATGTTGCCAACATGAATACTCTATTGAACTACTACTCTATGAAAAACTAGATTCAGGTCTTATTTTTTCTCAAGAGGATCAACTAACACGTTTTTTGTTAAAATTGAGAAAACGTAGTCTGATTTCAGAAAAGGAATACGTGCGGTGTCCGCCATCTGCATCACAACCTGCTAGACTTTATGGATTGCCTAAGATACACAAAGACGGTTTATCGTTGAGGCCAATCCTTTCAGCGACCACGACATTTAATTATGGACTAGCTAAGGTGTCAGCTAAACGACTCACAGACCTATATGTCAGGATCCACCCTATCCTAGTTAGCAGCAGACATAGTCGACAGTAGATCCTTCTTTTTCTAGTTAGTTATATTCTGTTTCTGTTCTTTACCGTTCACTTATATTATTTCTTTTTTCTCATTCA